TCACTTGTCTTTAAGGGTTAGTGATTGTTAATAAATTTCTTTGAAGGGGAATAATATGGACAATTTTAGGAGACCTTATCACTGTTAGGGATACAGCATTTGAGAGCAGAGGAGGAAAACACTTAAAAATAACATAGGACCTGAAGTTAAATTTAAAGAATGCCTCAATAATTCAGAAAATGCTTTGGCTTTACATAAGCTTCTAATCTTTTAATGTGTGAGGCCCATCCCAAAAAGGCTTCTGGGAGGAGGCCAAACTGACACCCCAAAGGGGGGGTCAGCTTCACGGAACCCGGAGGCCACGGGATAATGACCTAATGCATGTGCTGATCGGATGAAAATAAGAAAAGGGAACTGCTTTTGAGTAACTAACGGCCCTGGAAAAGTACCCGAAATAATGGCTCTGGAAAGGGGAACTGCGGCAAGGCATGGAGTGACCCTGCTTTGCAGCATGCGATGAAGCTTGCGATGAAGCTTGCTCTAACCTGTAAAAGGTGATAAGGCTAGAAGCTTCTGTGTGGTTGGAGGATCCCATGGGGATAGGAGGCAGAAAAGATATAAAGGTCATAAGAACAAAGCCTTGGGCAGAACTACTTTGGGGAGGACAAGGCTGAGGACCCGATAAAGGAGGTAGTCTTCCCACCCTGGACACAGGGTGGGGTTCCCGAAACCCATCAGGTAATAGCTCAGGGGTAGGGTGGGGAGTGCCTTTCCTCCAGCCTGACTGGCTTGCGAACTTAAAGCTTTTGTTTTGTATTGATTTAATGAAATTTGCTTTGATTATCTTCCAAGAAAAGTTATACCTGTTGTTTTGCCTTGGTGCACAACCTGTGGGTTACTCACTTTCCCTGGGGAAGGGAAGAAGACCTCACATAAGGTTAGGGGTTTGATAGATTTTATATACACATATACAGACAGACAGACATTTTTGTTTGTTTTGTTTTGTTTTTTTGGTGGGGGAAGTGATAAATAAGAACTTAATTTTAGATCATATATCTGGTGACATATCATCATTCATAAACCACATCAGCCAAATCATCTAGTTTTAAGTACATTACATTTTCTGCCAGCATAGCCCACTGCATTTGAAATCCATATCAAGTGCTGGCTTTGGGCACGCACGTCTCACTTCAAACACCATAGTTAAAAATGGGTGCCTAAAGGTTAGCTGCTTGGTCTATGTTTAGGCACCTGAATAAAAAACATCATATGACCACTGCCTGCTAGAATTCACCATTCAGCGCAAGGTGGCAAAGGCAAGCAGTCAGGTGGTGGCCTTTGATTTTAGGAGGGCGAACTTCAACGAGCTAAGGAGGATAGTTGGAGAAGCGCTGAAG